ATGATAATCAATCCCTTACTAAAATATATGACAAACAAACACAATTTTTATTAATTCTCTCAATAATAATTTCCACACCCCTCACTACTAATTCCCACAATAACAACGAGTCCCATCCAACCTAATTCTGAAAACAAACACCCTTAGGTTTTGAACAAAGAAAATGCTATAGGCCCTAAATTTTCTATCAAATAAATGATCAAATGTCTCACATAGATGTAGAATTTACAACCATGTGAGATATTTGGTCATTTATTTAGTAGAAAATTTGACATTCCTAGCATTATCCTTTGAACAATAGGACTTTTCAATCGAGGGTTTTCAATTTTTGCTTTTATTAAATTTTCTTTTAGTTTAGGGGTGTAGATTTCGAAATCAACCATGGCAGGAGAAGAAGATTTGATTGATAATGCTGTCAATCAAAATTCAATCTAATTAAGCAACTAGTTGAATTAGGCAACATGGTGGTGATATATCTAAAATTTAAAATTTTGTTATTGATTTGAATGGTGGCTCTGTGTTTTTTTTCTATGTATTGAAATCGCTTTGTGTTGGCTTTTTGATCAATTTTCTCTAGTTGAGTCAAAATACAATTTTCTCTGGTTTGATCAAAACACAGAGAAAATTATGAGCAAACCAAAGAATTTGGAAAAGATGAGGAATGAAGTTGAAGAGAAGAGAGAATTGTCACTTAACACTCTCGTGTGTGTAATTTTTTGTGGCATGCTTAATTTTCTCTGCCATGTGTAATTTTTTCTGCCATGTTTAATTTTCTCTGCCATGTTTAATTTTCTCTGCCATATGTAATTTTCTTTTGTTTGAACCTAGAGAAATTCTCTAGAATCTTGAGAAAATCTCTAGACTGCAGTCCAGAGAAATTCTCTAGATCGAATTTTTTCTGGATCGATGTTGAGGGACCTTAGATATTATGAAAATATTGGATGTCCTTTATGCTATAAAATCTTAATACCAAGGACCCTAAAAAAATTAGTTTTTTCAATTTGAAAGTTGATATTTTAAAGTTTTGAAAATCAAAATAAATGTCAAATCATCATGTTTCTTTATAGAAAATCATAAATGATGAACCATCATTGTTTGAAGGACAATTTTGATTATTAAAAATTTAATGGGATTTGAAGGTCCAAAAAATCTTAATTAAGATTTAATGGAGTATAAGTTCATAAATTAGAACTTGTGTGTAAATGTCCCATGAATTAAATGGCAAATTTTGATTGGAGGTGATTGTAATTTTTAGAATGTCAAAAATGTATCTGTATTAAAACCAAATTTGAGGGAGTGTAGTTGTAATTTACTAGAGTTTAATAAATTTGAAAAATTCTAATATACACATTTAGAATGCAAAAAATGTATCTGTATTAAAACCAAATTTGAGGGAGTGTAGTTGTAATTTACTAGAGTTGAATAAATTTGAAAAATTCTAATATACACATTTTTGAAAAGGATATGAACTCGTATTGTGTTTAGTTATGATTTTTTTTTTAATTATAACTCAAAAAATATAAAATTTCGTCATTTTATTTTTTAAATTAGGAGAAACTTCACTTTACTCCCTGTGGTTTAGGCCGCGTGCAGTTTACCCGCTGGCGTTTAGAAATCACCACATAACCCCTTGTGGTTACTAGATTGAAGTGCACAGTTAGCATTTCCATCTAACATAACAGTCCGTGCATGACACGCGCTTAATATGCAAATGGGTATGGAAAGATGATTTTCCCTCAAAATTAAATGACTAAAATGGCCTCATCTTCATCATCAATTTCCAAAATGTACCCTCATCTTCATCATCAATGTCCAAATTTGTAAACCACTACCCAAGAAAAAAGAAGGTGAAAGGACTATTAGATCTATATAAAAAAAAAAAAAACTCGCTCATCTTCTTGTGTTCCTCCTCATTTTCTCTATCTACAAGCCTTTCTTTCTCTCTCTCTATATATGTGTGTGTGTGTGTTTGTATATATCCATTTCTCTCTACATAGATAGATACATACATAGATGTATATATATGTTTGTATATATCCATTTCTCTCTATGTATATACATGTTCATTTTTGAAGTTAATCTTAGATCTGGGTATTCTATTGGTTCCACAATCTAACATCTTCATTTAAAACCAACCAACCCAAATCAAAAATAAAAACCCACAAAAACTCAAAACAAAAACTCAAACCATCATCATCTCAATGTTTCAAATGATGATGTTGATGAATCCAATTCCAGAAATATATATATATAATGATGTATATGTATATGTATATGAATGTATATATGTTCGTATAAAATATATATACATATACATATATGTTGCTTTGAAAATATAATTAAATTTAAGAAAAATTTACTTATAAATCCCATCTCAAGGAATGATGATCTATTTAGTCCTACGGATTTTCTTATAGACTAATTAGTCCTATTGATTTTCGAAAGATAGATTTAATATATTATTTTAAAATTAAATTTACAATTATATCCTTGTTTCTATTATATTCCTTCTCCTTTTTTTGTTGTTTTTTTTCTTTTTTTTTTTCTTCTTTTGTGCTAGAAAAGTAACGTACACAATATATGAGAATCAAATTTGGGATAAATTTTTATATAAAAATCTTTTTATTAGGAAAACATTTCAAAAGGAATACAAAAATGACTTAAAATGTGGGATTCTTTAAACATTTCAAAATGATGTGGGATTTTTCAAACATTTCAAAAAGATTACAAAAACTACTTGATAAGTTTTGGCCAAATGTAAAATTTCAAACTCGTAATATTCCAATGTAAGTTTTGGCCAAATGTAAAATTTCAAATCGTAATATTCCAATGTAACACTTAAATGTAACACTTCAATGTAACACTAAAAAAATATATATATAATCTTAGTATAATACCCTAATGTAACACATAAAAAAACTCCTTATTGTATTTTTTCTTAAATGTAACACTCCAAATAAACTCATTAGTGTAACACTCTAATATAACACACAAAAATTCTTTATTGTAATACTCTAATGTAACACACAAAAAAACTCGTTAGTGTATTCTTCTTAAAAGTAATACTCTAATATAGCACCAAAAAAAAAAAAAACTTTTTAGTGTAACACTCTAATGTAACACACACACAAAAACTTGTTAGTATATTCTTCTCAAAAGTAATACTCTAATATAACACACAAAAAAAAAAAACTCTTTAGTGTAACATTCTAATGTAACACACAGGGGCTCATTTGGTCCATAATGAAGATTTTAACTGGTGTTGGGTTAATGATGCTTGAATATAATCATCATGTGATGATGACATGGAGATGCTGGTGATTGCGATGGAATTCAGGTATGAACAGAAGTTGAGGTCGTTAGTAAGACTTGGACAGAGGTTGGCAATGTCATTTAACTGAATTAATAGCTTGGAAAGGGTAGAGCATAGAAAGGGCAACTAACAAAGGGAAGAAGGTTAGCAATGAAGTTAGTTATTACACAACTACTAATTCTATTAGGCCATGTTTGATTCACAATACTAATAGTGAGTTATTAATAATCCTATCAAATTAGTGTGGTATTAACTATCCCACCCCTACCCCATTACTAATAATCCTACAAATTTGTTGAATTAATTATCCATTGGATTAATAGTCCTAAACCAAAATGTCAAAACAAACATAGGATGATTGGGCCCACGGATTAATAATCTTAATCCCATGCTTTAATCCTTCCAATCAAACATGCCATAAGGACTTTTTTTTGTGTTACATTAGAGCGTTACGTTTGAGAAAAGTACACTAAAGAGTTTTTTTTTAGTGTTAGCTTTTTGCTCGTAATGTGGGATTTGTTCTAGAATGAGGAAAAATTCAAAACTTCTATAGTGCAAATTGCTTAAATGTGTAATTTTACATTTTGAAAAACCTACTTTTATCCCTACAAAATTAAACACTAATATGTAAGTGATTACTTTTTATGTAATTTTCACTTTAATGAGACCTTTGGGTTCATAAGAAAAAAAGGGAGGACTAAACAGTTCACAAGATCACATTTTAGAATTTATTGGTGCTTTATCCTAAATTTAAATTACGCTGAAAAAGTTAGGAATTGAATAAATAATTAGGAAGTTAATGACAATTTGTGATTTAATTAAATTAATTTTTTATTCAAATTAATTTGTTAAATCAAAATCCTGATTTCACATGTTGAAATCCCAATTTACACAATTGTTAAATGAGAAATGCTAAACAAAAATGTTATATATACAAGGGCAAAATAGTTTTTTTACTTCTGACATTAACAGTGTTAACTATGCACTTCAATTCATTAATCACAGAAAATTCTGTGGTGATATTCAAATGTCAGGATAATCCGCATCTGGCTTAAATCAAATAGTGTAAAGTGAAGTTTCCTTTAAATTATAAAGGAAAAATTACCAACACTCTTGAGGTTTGACTAAAATATAAATTCTCCTGAAGTTTGAAAAATTACAAATTATCTTTAAGTATTATATTTACATAACAAATGAAAAGACAATTTAAGTATTATATTTACATAACAAATGAAAAGACAATTTATTATACAAATATAAAGCTCAAAAGATAATTATTATATTAACATAAATCTTAGGAAACAGAATATAATTTCTCAAATCTTGAGAAGAATGTGTATTTTAGTCCAACCTTAGAGGTTGGTAATTTGCCCAATTATAAAGTGGATAGACCACTTAGTGTTTTTCAAAAAAAATTATTGAAAAAAATAAGTGGGTGTTTGGAAAGTGAGTTTTTATGTTGGTTTTTTTAGTTGTAGGATATTATTGGATAAAATATTTTTAGTGTTTGGGAAGATAGTTGGATTTTTTTGTGGTTCGATGTAATGTTTGTGAGAAAAAAAATGAAATGATTATAGAGTTGGATGTGATATTTTGTTTGGATTTATTTTTTTTAGTTTTGTAAAACTTTTATCTTTTAATAAAAAAAATGAGAAAAAAATCTGGGAACCAAAGTTCCCAAGAATGTATTGGGATATATCACAACCGCTTTACATGTTGAGCAACATCGCAGAAAATGCAGAATTGGATTTCACAAAAATCATGGCGAAACTGTTGATTAGCAATCTCTTCTTCTACACAAATAACAATGGCATGCGATCAAGCTGCATATTGCTGATGAACTTGATTCAAATTCTCAGAATTGTCATTTACTTGCAAACCATGATCATTGAAAGCATACGAAAATGGATCAAATTTCTTGATATACCCATTGGTCCAATTTACTAGTCAAATTCATGATATGCCCGCCACTCCCAAGTTCGAAAGCCCAGGATTCTATACTTTTCGATTCCAAACTCTCTAAACCCTAACCAGAGATCTCGTGGGTTGCGCTGGATTCTGGAATCTGGATAGCCTAGTTCAGCACTGGGTTCGTCGGTAAGTGTGTTGCTACCGAAACCCTAGTTTATTTTTTTTTATTATATTTTTTCTCTCCTTAAACTATCAATTTCATCTTATTAGTAAGTTGCTCATTTCAAAAAAACAAAGAAGTGATTTCAAAATTTGAATAATTTAATGGGTGTAATTTGTTCAAAATAGTAAAAACAGTGAGTGTTATATTGCTATAAGCTTTATTGATGGCTTTTATTATAATGAAATCTTTTCTACTCTTGTCATGGAGTTAAATTTATCATGTCTAATTGTCAAATGTTCTAATTTTCAGGGATTGTCTAGAAGCTTATCATGTTGAGTGTGTGGCGAAAGATGAGTCATTTGTTGAGTCTGGAAACAGCTGGACTTGCAGTAAGTCACTCACTTATTTTTTATTTTTATGAAATCTCCATTTTTTAAGTAAAAGCATGGAACCAATTGCTATGTGTGTGGCATGGATGAAATCTAATGACTCGTCAGTTAACATACAATGCCAAGATGTATTTCAATTACGTTTTTTGGGTGATCTTAAAGTTTCCTATCTTCCATGTAACTTGGTCAGGAAAAAAAAGGAAAGAAAAAGTACTGAATGTTTATGAAAACCCTGTTTGCCTGTTATCTGTGATCAATTAAATATGTTATAGAATTTTATAATAATTGAAATTGACAAGTAATACTTGTTTTGCAATGGATTTAAATAATATTTAACATGCTTAATTTATGATCCTGAGTCTCCTGATGACTCAATGTGAGTATCACCTCTATTGCGAGTTTTATTAGTCTGTGCACACATTGAGAGTTCAGAGTATCCAAAACTCTGCTCTTTGTTTTTATGTTCTTAGTTTCTTATCTTATTTTCGTTGTGTTGGATAAAAAATTGTATGAGTATGCCAAGCGAATCCCATTCTCTATTTCAGTGTGGCATTCTTGCTTCAGTTGCCGTAAGAGTTCAAAATTCCATTGCTTTTGCTGTCTAAAAGCTGTGTGCGAACACTGCATTGCTACTGCAGAGTTTGCACGTGTTAGAAGGAACAAAGGGTTCTGTAATCACTACTTAAAAAATTTGCACTACTTCGGGAAGAGAATATGGATGTCGACTCTGATGGGGTATGATACTATCTAAGAAGACTTGCAAGTTACATTCTTGAAATTCTGTTAATTTTCCTTTGCGTTGCAAAATGATTTCTTTCATTATTAGTAGGTTCTTTTATTTGGTTCGAGACTATCTCTTTTTTGTGAAGAAAGAAACCCCTTGACGGAAATCTCTATGACATACTATTTTTCAAAAGGCTAGCTGCTTTGCTCAACTCATCATGATACATTAGATGGAACATATAACTCTATTTGGCATTATGAATATATTATCAATTTTTAGTCTCTGTTACAATGATAGGAATGCAAGATTAGGAATGAAATTACATTACTAAGAATGATATGACTGTTAATGAGATTTATAGTCTTAATTTCTTCTAGTCATTGGGCAGCATGCGTTTTTCAAATGTAGGTACAACATATGAAAATAGTTTCTTTATTTGAAGTGCTTAGGTTGCTCAACATGACAACATAAATTTTGCTTTTGTAAGCATTAAAACTTAAAAGAATAGCAATGACATAAATTGTATAATACAAAATAATAATTATTAGGGCTACTAAAGAGTCCTACTATGGCTGATAAAAAAGTCTTTCTATAATTTATGTCTTAACATAATTTTTTTGATTTAGATCCATTCATGAAATTGAGATTTATTGCTTCATATTCAGATTAGTCTTAATATAGATGATATTTTGGTATATATCATTTGTATGTATAGAAAGATTTTATATTTTGTATTTGGCTTCAAACTAAGATTTCAGTCTTTCTTTATCTTTTACTGAATGAGATTTTGGAGAAACCCGATTCACACCAAGTCTAGTCTATTTATTAGCTTAATTTCTTACCTAAATATTTTTCCTTGAAATATATTGATGATTTTGTTGAATTGTTTCAAAAGATTAAGTTGTTAGGAAATGAGTCTAACAATGTATATCAAATTAACACTCCCTTGCATGTGTGACTTTGTCTCGCACATGGACTAACAATAGATTGAGAGAACATGGTGTGCAAGTAGAATTGAGTGCACAATACAATTACTATGTTATGTTGACTCTTCTATTTCTTGCAAAGTATCTGTGTCCACTGGATATGACAAGGATAAGGGAGTGTAATTTGTGTCCAACACTCGTACCTAATTTAGACCCTTTTTAAAAAGTGGATGCAACCATTACGTAACGGTGTTACGTAACAGTTGTAGTGGTTACAACCACTCGATACGGACGTTATAGCGGTGTATAATTCACAACCGTAATGGCCGCCACCGTTACATAAACGGCCGTTATATTGTCGCTATAGCACCGTTACGGCCGTTACGATTGTTACGCTTCTATTTTTATTTTTATTTTTTCCATTTTTGTATGTAATGCTATTTTCTCTTTTTTTTACATAGAACTTCAGTAAAAATTTATACGTGTTTTGTTTTTCCGTTGTAACCAAAAAAAAAAAATTATACATGTTTTGAATGTCCAATCTTCAAGTTCTACAAGATTTTATACTTCTTCACGTAATTATATTTGAATATTAATTTATATCTATTTCCCTTCTGTTAAATTTATTGAACAAAATTTAGATTTCATGTTATATACTTTTACATTATTATGTTGACATTTTTTAATTTGAACTTATGTTTATGAGACTATTATTTTTAATATTAAACATTCTTCTTTTTTTTTTCTTAATAAATTGAAAGTTATCCATAAATATAATTAGTAAATCAAAGAAAATTAAATAAATCTAACAATAGTAGCTACTTAAAACTAATATAGAAATTAGTATATATAGTAGATCATGTTTTAAAACTAAACAAAAATTCTAAAAATCATTTTGAACAATAGTATCTTGGTATGCTTTTCTAAAGTTGTGCAAAGAATTAAAAAAATCACGGTCTCGGTTATCGCCACCGTTACGCTATGGCCATAACATCTCGCAACCGCGCCAACGCTGCCATTACCGTTATATTAACCGCCACTGTTATTTAAAACCTTGAGAATAAACTCACTTTTATTAAAAAAGAAACATTTATAACTTCTAATATAGATAAGAGATAAAAATCCCACTTTTTTTCTAAACGTTATTCAATTTTAAGTACATTTTTACATAATTTACAACATCTTATCTAATAATATTATATAATATGTAATCTCTATTATTACAATCTTACGATTCGTGATTCGATTCATAGTTTTTGCAAAATCGATACGAATCTATGGGTGAATCTCTTTTGAAAGTGAATCTATAGTGAATCACACGATTCACGATTTGATTCACATTTTACTATTTATGCAATTCTTGAAATGATCGTGTCCAACATATTTTTAACTATTTTTTTCTTCATCTTTTTGGTAAAAATGACTTGATACAACTTCTAATAGCGTTTAGTACCAAAATAACTAATACATTTACATGATTTGTTGTTATTTTAGTGATCATGGAGTTTTTAATATGATCTAATCAGATTCAGTCAGACCCAAAATGTTTTGAACTTTCTCATTTGTTTCCTTAAAAAATATTAATATATTTTCTTTAAGATTGAAGTAACTTACGCCAAGAATTATCTATTTCTATTTTATTAAATTAAATATTGTTGAATATTACATAAGTGAGATCAATTATACCTTTTAAAATGTTTTAGGTTTTAAAATAAAAGATCCTAAATAATTCTATTGTTTGGTCATTGTTACGTGGAAAAATATGTATGCTTATTGTCTAAATATCAATTGTTGTTAAATTATTGTTACTTTGAAAATTGAGACTTTGTCTTTACTTACTATCTTTATTAAGAATGGTTAATAAGAAATATCTAAAAAAAGGAAAAGGTAAGATGGTGATTTTACATAGGAACCTTAGTTAACTTATTACTTGTTAAACTATGTGACCATAATCCAAAACCACATTTTTATTGATTTAAGGCTAAACATGTCATACTCATAAAATATATTTAACATCCAAGGGTATAGATATATTTTTATAAGTAATTTAGAAAAAGTGACCGAATCTTTACGATTCACGATTCGATTCGATTCGCAATTCAGTATGAGGCTATTTCGATTCACGATTCGAATCCCAATTTGACAACTATGTATGTAATAATCCCAAGGGTTTGGCATGGTGAATGAGGCCTAGGACTTGGGGTTTGCTCCCTCTAAGGTCTCAGGTTCGACTCCCTTCGTCAGCAAAACTCTTGGGGCTATAGACCACAGGGGATAAACTTGTTTCAGAAAGCTTGTTTGAACTGTACGGACTTCCGTAAGTCGGCCGAGAATACCCTACATATCAAAACAAGAAAAAAATAAAATAAAATTATATAATATGTAATATATATGTGTGTTCATAACAATTCTCCGTACCCGTATCCTATTTTGGATACATATCCCAATATCTTAAGATTTAAATTTATAAAGGTTTGACATTTGGGCATGCACTTGTATTCGATACTTGTACCCAAGTCCATATAATGTAGGTGCACAATGACAAAAATAACAAGGGTGACAAAACTAGAAACCCAAACCTCTTGGAATTAGAGCTTTGATACTATGTTGAATTGTCTCAAAAGCATAAGGTGTTAGGAAATGAACCCACGCATATCAAGCGTACAAATTTATTTTTAATCACACATTTTTTTTTTTAATATAGATTGACTATTTTTAATCACACTTTATTTTTGAAAAATATAATTATTTTAGTGGCAATTATCACTATTAGCTTATAGTGCTAAAACATTTGACAAAGCAAATATGGTTGGGTACAATTGAACCCAACCATATTTAGTGTTATGTTTAGTTATTCTCACACTTGACCTAACAATATTTGCTATGGCAATATGGCCATTCTTGTACTTGTTCAGACAAAATTCATGTAATATGTATTTAAGATTTTATAAAATTTGATTTTTACATTTAGGTTAAATTACACTAACACCCCCTGAGGTTTCTGTTTAATACAGATTCTCCTCTCACATTTGAAAAATTACATTCCCCTCCCTAAGGTTTGTAATCTCATTACAAATTCCCCCCTGGATTGCTGATGTCATGTCCTAAAATTTTCAAAATAACCATCTTGCCCTTTTTATAATATTTTTTGTATGAATTTTTATATATGAATATAATTTGTCATTTTTGTTTCCATCATTATATCTAGATTAGATCCATTTGATCTAGATATATTTAAAAAGTATAAAATTTGTACAAACAATTAAAAAAAAAAATCATTGAATACAACAAAACAAGATAACATATTGAATTTTTGTATATATATATTTTTGTATTTATTGAATTAAAAAAAAAAACTCAAAATATTATACTTCTAAAGTATATCTAGTTTAGTTGTATCTAAAAAATTTTTTTAAAAAAAGTTCAAAAATCAGTAAAAATAAAAAATGAAAAATAAAAAAATTCAATTTTTTGTATGAGTTAAACCAAAGAAGATGATTGTTATTTCTCTTGAAATGACATGAACAAAATATCTGCATTATTTTATAAGTGTAAAGGTTAAAGGGCAAATATGTCATTTTAATCTGATAGAGGGTAAGTATAAATTTTCAAATGTGAGAAGGGATCTGTATTAAACAGAAACTTCAGGGAGTCGGTGTAATTTACCCTTACATTTATGTACTTAAAAAGATGGCCATGGTAATGTGCATTAGCATGGTGATGCCAATTTTGGTTTTATCTAACAATTTGTTACTAATTTTAGGGCTCGTTTGAGAATTGGCTATTTTAATTAGTTTTTGAACTTTTTATGAAAAGATATATAAAAAAGTAGAAAAAGTGATGTGACAATTTATAGTGACTTTTTGACTTCTTGGCTAAAATTCTATCATCCCAAACAAGGCCTTATTTTTCTCATACTTATTTTGTATTGTAAGTAGAATTGACGAAAGGTTACATTAATAATGAAAGTGTGAAAAGAGAGAAGATAGATAACGTTATAAGAAAATAGGAGACTATGAGAACACTAGGGTTATTTCCCTTTAGTCCTTGTATTTATACTTATATATTGAAGATTACAAAACTAACCTCTTGACTAATATATAACCAACATTCCCCCTCAAAATAGGGCAAAGATATTGTGAATGCCCCACAAAGTAAACTGAATATAAGTTAAGAGCATGATAAAACAACATACTAGACCTTGAATGAAGCAGGGGAGGGGGTGGGAGCGTTTATGTATCTTATATATAATATAAATTCATTTATAATATAAAAACTTTTTTTACTTATTTATTTATTTATTTGTGTGTATGTTTTGATATATATCTTAAAATATGGATAATATTGAGCTTTTAATAAATATTTTTTTTATGTATTTTTTAATAAATATTAGTTTAAGCTTTTAAGAGGGTGAAACTATTTATCTTGTTTGTTATAAGTATATATTTATTTTTAGGTAAACCCCAAGGGGTTGGCCTTGCAGGTGTAGCCTGGGGCTTCCGACACGGATACGCCACCTTCCTAGAAGTGTCCGTGCTTCTTAGGGTAAACCCCAAGGGGTTGGCCTTGCGGGTGTAGCGTGGGGCTTGGGGGTGTACTCCCTCCAAGTTTCAAGTTCAATTCCCATTAGGTGCTATCAACTCCTTGGGGTCATGCTTTGCACGGGTTTTGAGATTAGTCGAGGTGCGCGTAAGCTGGCTTAAACATCCAATCATCAAAAAATATATATATGTTTCTAAGTAAATATGTAAACAACCAATCAGACAATAAATACATTATTTAAATATAATAAAATTAGAAACTAACTTTTAGCGAGAGAGTAACTTCATTAAATGAAAAATAGTGAGAAGAGTGAATTTCTGCCTATATACAAGATGTAGCCAATAAATACACATTTAATGTCAATTAGAAAGAGTCATAATAGACTCTTCGAGAAAATTGTAAATCTTGTTAAATGAGAGGCATCTTTCTACCTATGACTAGGGTTTTGCTGTATGAAAGGAAAGAAATGAAGACTTATTATAGGAGCAAGAGGTGTCAAGTGGAACCCTAGAATTTTTAGGAGATTTTGTTTCTGAATTATTTTTTTTCTCGTTCTGTTTTAATAATCTTGTTAGTCTTATATACATGTGGAGATTGTGGAACATAAATTTCATCTTTTAATGAATAATAATTGATTTTGAGAGAGCATGATTTTCTGAGAAAACCTAGGGTGGGTTGTGCCGTTTGAGTTCTTTGTTCTACACCATTTTGGTATTAGAGCAAACTTGCGATCCGTCACCATCAAGTCACACCTTTGCTGCCTCTTCAAGAATCCTGAACCAGCCACCGGAAACCTTCATTACCTCGCCATTGCGCTGCTGACTACTGCCTTGCAAAATCCTTTGTGGACAGCATTGTTTCCTTGCATCGCTCCTCATCGCGACCTCCACTGCGTTATTTATCAATGTCGCAGCGAAACCCAGTCAGTTCATTGGTTGCTGCCGCCGCCTTGTCTTCTAACAGTTGACTCTGAATATCATCGTCACCATCATAGTTATTCCTTCAATAGTGAAGGAGAAAACCAGCGTAAAGAAGTGAAAGGATTATACAGCGTATAACCTGAACCCCTAAGGACCAACCCATTCCTTATAACCCTAAACCCGACCCATATTTATAAACCTCGACCCATTAACTCAGCCCAATCTAATAAAAAATAAAAATAAAATAAAAAAACCTACCAGCTCAACTCCTCACAGCAACCCAAAAGCCCAAATACACCTACCCAATCATATCTTTAAGAAGCCAATAACCTGACGCCTCTTACGCCTTCATTCCTTTCCTTTCCTTTCCTTTCCTTTCTTTCTTGGTCCCCATCAGAAAGATTGAAGAATAGAGGAGATGGTTCAGATCTGAAGACCCAACAATGCAGCGAATTCAAGCAATCTTCAAAAGCTGAGACCACTAATCCAATCACAACCAGGTTTTCTTCTATCAATCTTTCTCTTTCAGTCTTTCTTCTCTATTTTATTGTTTCCCCCTTCTTTTTATACCAAATAATCTCTTCTTGTCTCTGTTTTATCTGTCATTTTAGTCAAAAAGAAAAAAAGTTTCTAATCCCTGGTTTGACCGGTCTCATCTCAGTTTGAATCATGTTTCTTTCTTTGAATCGCAGAATTGCATTTCTAAGGTAGAAACTTCACCCTTAGTAGCAGGGATTGAGCAATCAGGGGCTTTTTTTTAGAAATGTGTTTCAAAGAAACGTGTAAGAAATGTGTTTTTGTGGGGAGAGAATCGCACTTCTATCTAAGATGGGATCGGTGGGTATGGATCTGAAGCATATTTGGGCATGGATCTGAAACAAAACATGGATCTGATTTTTTTAAGAAATCAGATTTGGGTAGAACAAGACATACCTATCGAATAAGACGACGTGAAACGAGAGAGACGGATCGAGGGAGGAGTCGAAGCAACCATAGTCTTCAATGAGAGTGAAGATGAGAGAGCATCATCGCTTTATTTGTTTCTTTTTTTATCTTGTTATTTTATTTTATTTTTATTTTGACCTAGTCTTGGGTCATGGGCTTCATTTAAAAGTTCATTGGGCCTATAATTGGTTATACCTTACAAATCCAAAGATTATTGGAAACCGATTGTATAGAAATCAAAGTCCAGTAAAAAAAGAACACATAATATAAATAAATAAAATAATGAACTTTGATATATTTGAATAAAGCCAACCCCAAGGGGTTGGCCTGGTGGCAAGGCCTTGGGTCTTGGGGGTGTGCTCCTTTCAAGATTCAGGGATCGAAACCTCTTGGGTGCTAACAATTCCTTGGGGCCATCGGACTGGGGGAAAAAACCTTGAATTAACCGCGGTACACTTGCGGGAAACTCCTTGCCGAGGGCCTATGTACCCTTCGGGATTAGTCGGGCTTTGATCCGGACACCCTAGTGCCAATCAAAAATATATATATTTGAATAAAGCCACAAAACAAAACAAAACAAACAAAAAAAAATTATGTTTAAATTATTTTATGTTATATATATATGTATATAAAATACATAAGTGCTCCGCGATGCGTTCCCAACTTAACAAACTTCTATGTGCCCACGCTTCTGTGCTCTTGCTCCCACTCCTGCTTCATGCAACTATGCTTCATCCTTTTTTGAGAATTACTGCTACTAAGTACTACCCACTCCTTTAGGCAAAATATTTCTAAGTTGATCCTCAATTTTGATAAACATAGTATAAATAATACCATCATTCAACTTTTCTTTGATGAAATGTCTTTCAACTTTCTCATGTTTAGTTCTATCATATTTAACTAGATTATGAACTATATATATTTTTGTGAATCAGCAACAACAAAATTATGAACTATATTAATAGTAGCTTTACAGTCATTCATAGGGCCTTTCTGATCAAAACCTTATTCTTTCAAAAATTGACTTTTACCACAACAATTCACATATCTTATGAGCCATAGCTCTAAATTCTGCCTGCACACTTGACGTGGCGACCATAGATAGCCTCTTCTTGCGCCATGCCACAAGATTACCCCTTTCAAAGGTGCAGTACCCTGAAATAGATATCTTGTCTATAATAAATCCAGCCTAATGCACTTTAGTACAGCCTACTATTTGTAAGTCATTATGTTTGGAAAATAATATTCTCCTACCAGGTGTGACTTCAAATACTGCAAAATCCCTTTATCCAACATTTATATGAATCTCACAAGGTGAGTGCATAAACTGACAAATCTAACTAACTACAATTACTAAGGACACATGTAGAAGGTAGGTATGTCTTCCCACAATATCACTTCCACTATCACCAAGTTAATCACTCTATTCATTGGGAGTGTTAGGAAGTTCACATGCCAACGTCTTAGTCTCCTTAAGAAGATCTAGAACAACTTATGTTGAGAGATGAAATACCATATCTAGATTGAGCAACCTCAACACCCAAGAAGTACTTCAAACTCCTTAACCAAGTCCTTCATTTGTCCATCTCCTCTACATCATTCCCAGTCAATACAATATCATCAATATTCAACGTTTGACACACAAAGTGTGATCAATTTGACATCACCGTCTCTATTTTATGAATTTTAGTTGAGAAAAATAGTGAATTTGGCTCCTCCACATACGCTGGACTTCATGGTTCAACTGCATTAATATTGTCTATGTTGCTCTTGTATTCTTTATTCTACCATCTTTTCTTGGAGATTTTTCAAGTGACATTGGAAAAAGATGAATTTTGATGTGGGATTTTGTTAACGAATACTATTTTTGTATCACTTCTTTTTTATTCTGTTATTTCCATTTTTTTTTTCTCGTCTTTGTGAGGTGTTTTGTAAACCGAACTTGAGCTTTGTTTCTCAATCTCTTCACTGACTCTATGTTTATTGCATTGCAGGAGAGGGAAGATTAGAATGTCAGAAGGGAAGGGAGTTGTGATGAAAGGGGTGGTAAAATCCAACGGGAAGGGAGTTGTGATGAAAAGGGTGGTAAAATCCAACGGGAAGGGAGTCGTGATGAAAAGGGAGCTAAAATCCAAAGGGAAGGGAGTTGTGATGAAAAGGGAAGTAAAATCCAAAGGGAAGGGAGTTGTGATGAAAAGGGTGGTAAAATCCAAAGGGAAGGGAGTTGTGATGAAAAGGGAGGCAAAGTCCAAAGGGAAGGGAGTTGTGATGAAAATGGAGGTACAATCCAAAGGGAAGGGAGTTGTGATGAAAGGGAGGTAAAATCAAGAAAAAGAGATTTTATTGGTTGGGGATCAAAATCACTCATGGAGTTTCTTGCGTCACTTGGTGAAGACACAAGTATAAAAATGTCACAATATGATGTGTCTTCTATCATTAAAGAATACATCAATAAACACAACCTTTTTTGCCCCGACAACAGGAGGAAGATTTTATGCGATGAAAGACTGAAGTCTGTTTTGGGGCAGAAAACAGTATACAGAAATCAAATGTGTGACCTCCTCCAACCCCATTTTATTGAGAACCTTGAGTCATCAGATGAGGACGAACTAGGACTCAGTTCAGAAGCTGAGGATGAGAATGTCATGGTGGCCTGTAAAAAACAGAGAGTTAATTACAAATAGGAAATCCCCGGAAAAGGAGGTGGTGATCAATGCTCCACAGAGCTGTTTTGCTTCCATTGTTTCTGAAAACGTCACGCTTGTCTACCTGAAGAGCCTAGTGCAGGGAGTACTGAAGCAAACTGAAACCTTTGAAAACAAATTAATAGGAAGCTTTGTCAGAGTTAAATTAGACCCTAATGACTCCATTCAGCGAAATTCCCATCAGCTTGTGCAAGTTACAGGTTTGTCTTGATGAGTTAACTGTCTATTTCTTCTTAATAGTTTGGGGGCTATATTCTGCAGTGCCATTGACTTTATGAAACAAACTGCATGACCATAAAGTAATACTTTTTTAAAATGATAGTGTTATTTCCCTCTTAGCAATATGGTCATCTCCTTCATGGCAGTTGTGACTGTTTAGTATTCAGTACTTTCTAACTAGTTGTGCTATTATGTTATTGCAATGTATTAGTTCATATTTGACTTGCATAAATTTATCACAATAGCAGGCCATTCAGTGCTCTAACTAGTTGTGCTATGATATCAATAATAGAACTGTCTGAAAGATAGACTTGTCAATCCATCAAAAACCCAAGCAATACGTTTTAAAAAAGTAAAGAGCATGTCGCAACTTGCACAACAGAAAGAACCACAAGTAACTCAATTTATGCTTTTTGTGTCAGTACTTTAGATCCTGGAAGAGGACTGTATACCATTTTACTTAGTTTTTATATCAAAACAACTTTGAGGAATGACTTCTAGATGAACCTATGTGTAGAATTTATTTGATAAAGTCTTCAAGTGGCAAGTGAAAAGAAGTTGGTTAAAGTTTTGAAGTTACAAGTGAAAAGAAGTGAAGTGAAATCTGAACAAGTACTGATTTTGCAGGAAGCTAAATACAAAGGACTGAAATTGATATCAGGAACCGTACTTAGTAGAATCTACGACCCAATCCAGTTACTCCATTCATGTTAATTTATGTATTTTGAGAGAATGACCAAAGGGAAATGAAGTAGGGAGCTTCAAGAATACAGTGTGTTCAGAATCTGATGAGTGTAGAGTCCATGCAACCTTTTAGAATGATCTGGTAGATTGCTCTAAAACATGTCAAAGTTAAATGTTTGATGTTGTGTTTTGAATTGTCAGATTTCCCTTAATTCGTTTATTTGCATGACTTTATCCTAGAGTTCTCAGAAACCTAACCAATTCTTCATCGATATGTGCATGATTCCAACGCCCGTGAAACCTATTGTTTTCTACACACATTTTCTTTATCATTAATCTTTTGATTGTTTTCCTACTGTTACCATTTTGTATGCACCCAGGCATCAAGAAGATATCTAAGGGGGATAACAATACACAGATTCTCCTCCAGGTTTCAAATATGTCAAAAGACATTTGCATCAGCATGCTTTCAGATGTTTTCTTCTCTGAGGTAACAATATTGTGTGGAAGTATTTTCAGTAGCTTTTCTTTTTCATTCTTTATTTCCTATTTGTTTTCTACTTCTTGTTCCCTTTCTTCTCCTCTTTTCGTTTCTTCTTCTTCACTCTGACACAGTATTTCAGTGATGGATCACATTCGAGAAGCACGTTTCATCCCTTTCTTCTTTCTATCCATCCATTACCTTACTTAAAGTTTTATTGTTGAATTCAAATGGAGCATACTCCTGTAATACGGTTCTGATTTCAGTCAGTATACGACTAACATGAATAATGGACAACCATGGTCCCCAATTCCTAGCACTAATAATCATGGAGGATACTGATGCAATGATGGAGATGAGATTTGAAGAGATCGATATTTTATTGTTTTAGAATTAGTAGTTAATTAGAAATATTTTGGTTAGTATAGAATATGCAAGAATTAATACGTATTTTGTATTAATTTAGTTTTCGTATTTTATGTATTTCTTGTTCTACAAGAATTAATATTTTCCTTTTTAATATTCTTGACTAGCAATAAATAATTTAGTATAAATGTGTTTGTAAGCCTTAGGGAAAATAAACTTTTGTCGATTAACAATACAATTTGGAAGAGAGAGTATCTTTTTTATTTTGTTCTTGGTTTTCTCTGTGTAAGTGTTCATTCCACACGCTTCCCTGCATCAATGATAATGCATGCTATTTATAGTTTGTGACATTTTGAACGTAGTATTTTTGTATTGTATGGATTGGAATGACAAGTGTTGTTTAGGCACCCCTCTTAGCTATGACTAATGGTATGAAAATGCAAACTTCCATCAAACTGAAGCATGGCAATATTCTTCTAATTTCCATGGTCTTTATTGAAAGTTCTTTTTGGGTTCCACTGATACATTGTGGACTATTTTTCTTGAACTCAAAATGCATATATGGCAATAACCCTCCAGTATGCACATACACTCGTTACAATCATTTGGATATTCCTGCCACATTATTCTGCTTAGAGTAGCCAAAACTGTGAGGTTTATCTGTGATCAAATTGACCTTACAAATTTAACTCGCAATAAATCAAATGTGGACTCCATATATGAGGTATAGTGACCAGATTCTCCTTGTTAATGCAGATTATATTTGGTTTTGAGTTTTCATAAAGAGTTTTTGAATTTTTAATCCTGTTTTTAAATATTTGTGAATAAATCTTTAAAAAAAATCAATAAATATGAAGAAATATGAAAATGTATTGAATTTTTATTTATTTATTTATTTATTATTTTTTAGTATTTAGTGAATTATGAGGTATAGTGACTTGTGCATCTATTTCTAGGAATTTTTCCTACTGCCACAGTTTGTTCTTCAAATTTTCACTCCTTACTATAATGTTTATACTTGTCCCCAATAAATTCTTATTATTTCCTGTACTACTCATCCCAAAGTTCTACTTTAGTTTAGATGGGAAAACATTAATCGGAAGTTAAATTGTTTGAATAGTTCAACATACCATTAATAGTTTATCATTTCTATCATTACAGTAGTTGCTTTTTCCTTTTACAGGAAGAATGTGAAGATTTGAGTCAAAAAGTGAAAGATGGGTTACTGAAAAAGCCTACTATAGTAAGTTCTTCCTACTTTTTTTTATTCTTTTTTCTTTTATTCATTGGAGAAGTAAAACTTCTTTAATTATATTGAGAAAGGGATCAGTGTCATAAATACTGTTATTATAAGTGAATCCGATTAGAAGAGGAATTAATGGAGAGGAGCAAAAAAAGTCTTCCTTTTTCTTTTAATTTTTTTAACCATCAGAAAAACTAATTTAAAAACAAAATGTAGTTTGCATTTGAATTTTCTGAGGATCCAGTAAAATGAAGTGTCGGAACTATTGAGTCTTTGTAATCTGGTTTCTCTGTCCCTGAATGCCTCCCATCCTTCTTGGATACTTGTAATTTCTTTCAACTTGACTGAACTGGAAAAGTAAGGCTGTTTCTGCAGAATTTGAACCATCACCTACTTTTTTATTAGGTCTTAATGATAAAAATGCAGGGGCAATTACACCCATTTGATATAGAAAATGCAACAAACTGTGGCAAGACTGATTGATTATTATTTTTGTCTAGCCCTAAATCTGAACTTATTTTCATGCAACTTGCAAATAAGCCATTCCTCTACAGTTCAGATTTTCTTAATCTAGAGTTCCTCTACCCATCAGTTTACAGTTTTGCCTGTACCAAATGATGACTGATTTGCTGCACTCCTGCCCCTTGTTGTGTAGGCATTTGCTATATCATTGTACTTCATTGGGTTATCTTTTCAGCCTTACCCTGCCTTTTGTGGGTTGGCTTCATAAATTGCTTATATGACTATTGAATATTGTTTCTATTGAAAAATATTCTCAATATTAAGTCATTTGAAGAGGACTTCTTGTCCTCTCTTTGTACCTTTTCTTATCTGTAATAGGCTTTTGGCTAAAGTTTTGGCAAATAGGCTTCGTGGGGTCTTGCAGACGGTTGTGTCTAAATCTCAAAATGCTTTTTTGGGGGGTTAGCAGATTTTGGATGCAGTGTTGGTGGCCAATGAGTGTGTGGATTCCTGGATTCGATAGGACCTACCAGGTTTGCTTTGTAAGTTGGACATTGAGAAGGCTTACGACAATGTCCGGTGGGAGTTTCTGTTGTTTGTTCTGGGTCGCATGGGTTTTGGGGAGACTTGGTGTCAGTGGATCCTGTTTTGTATTTCTACTGTCAGGATGTCTGTTTTGGTTAATGGCTCACCGGCGGGTTTTTTTCCGACACATCGAGGTCTCCGTCAAGGGGATCCTTTATCGCCTTTACTGCTCATTTTAGTGATGGAGGCTTTGAGTAGACTGTTAGATAGGGTCATTCATGAAGGTTTGCTAGATGGTTTTTTGGTAGGATCGCTCACCGGGGCATCTATTTGTGTTTCCCATTTACTGTATGTTGATGATGCTTTGATCTTTTATGGGGCAGGAGTGGAGCAAGTAGGGTATGTGCGATGTGTCTTGTTATGCTTTGAGGTTGTTTCGGGTCTTCGGGTTTACTTTAGGAAATCAGAGCTGATCCCGGTGGGTCAAGTAGAGAGTCTTCTAGTGTTGGCGGCGGTGTTAGGCTGCCAGGTGTTGGCTCTTCCAGCAACTTATTTGGGCTTTCCTTTGGGGTCAACGTTTAAGGCGTTAGGGGTGTGGGAAGGAGTTGTGGCGCGGATTCAACGCCGGATAGAAGAGGCAATATCTTTCGAAAGGTGGTCGGTTGACTTTGATCAAGAGTGTGTTGAGTACCATGCCAACGTATTTCATTGCTTGTTATTCCGGTATTGGTGGCGCGACGGATGGAACAGCTTCAAAGGGATTTCTTGTGGGGTAGTAGGGGGGTTGACTTTAGATATCATTTGGTGGATTGGGGCCAGGTATGTCAATCAAAAGAGGCTGGGGGATTGGGGGTTCGGAGGTTGGTGACTTTTAATAGACCTTTGTTGGGGAAATGGCTATGGCACTTTGCTTGGGAGTCGGAGTAGCTATGGAGACGGGTGGTGGCTAATAAGTATGGCCTGGAGAGAGGGGGTTGGGGGTTGGGGAATGTGATTAGTTTTCATTGTTGTGGTTTATGGAAAAGAATTTGGTTGGGGAGGGTGGAGTTTTGGAAGAGGGTGGGGTTTCGGGTGGGTGACGGGATGAGGGTGCACTTCTGGAAGGATAGATGATGTGGTGAGGCTTTGTTGGCGGATCGCTTTCCATTGATTTTGGCCCCTGATTAGGAAGCTATGGTGGCATCTTATTTAGGGGGTAGGGATGTGGTGGTATGGGATATTCAGTTGTGCTGACCGGTTTAGGATTGGAAGGTTGATCAATTGCTGCGGTTATGGGGTTATTTGTATGTGTTGGGCGTGACTGGGCAAGGGTTTTGGGGTGGAATGTGGTGGGATCCAAGGGTAGTTTTTCTGTTTCGTCCTACTACAGAAGTTTGGTGGGGGTGGTGAGGAGAGATTTTCCTTGGCGGAGCATCTGGGTGCCAAGGGTTCTTTCCAAGGTGGCCTTCTTCATGTGGACGGCAGCCTTAGGCCGGAATCTTACGATTGATAACTTGGTGCAGCGAGGTGATATAGTAAATCGCTGTTGTATGTGTTGTGCGGACGGGGAGTTCGTGGATCATTTGTTTTTGCATTGTTCTGTGGCAAGTCGTTTGTGGGGTCTTATTTGCTCTCTTTTTGGAATTGCTTGGGTTCAGCCACGGCGGGTGATGGATATGCTGTGGAGTTGGCGTGGCGTTCGAGTTGGTCGTCGGAGGCGGCAAGTGTGGTCTTTGGTGCCGCTTTGTTTGATGTGGCTAATTTGAATGGAACGTAATAGGCAAACTTTTCAAGATGTTCATTATAGCGTTTCATGGCTTGAGAGTCGTCTTCTTATAGTTTTGTATAGTTGGTTGGAACATAAGTTCGATCCGGATTTGTTTGTTTTTCTAGATTTTTTAGAGGATATTCTTGATTAGGAGGTGGTGCGCTTTCTCTTCCGTTCGCTGTTTGAGCGGCTTTGTATTCTTTGCATCATCTTGATGCTTTCTTAATAAATGTTATCTTATTTATCCAAAAAAAAAGTTTCTTTTGTTGCTGATCAATATATATATATATATATATATCTATTCTCAATATATAAGGATCCTGTACCAGACAACTGGCCTTAAGAAGAAAGCAATCTGCACTCGTGTTTGTGTATTGATCTTCTCATTTTACGCATTTTTATTCGTTCACCAAGTATTTTAAGTTGGTTATTATATTATATCTTAACTAAATGGAATCACTATGTTACAATGTTAAAAACAATTTTTGAACTTATTTTGTGTCAAAATCCAGGATTATGTAGACAAACTTTGCTGCTGCTCCTTACATTTCTCTCTGTTTCTTTAGCTAATCAATGTTAAATATTCTGATTGAAAGTTTATTTAAACTGTCTGATTGAAACATTTTATCTGACAGGTGGACATTGAACTGAAGGCCAGAAGTCTGCATGAAGATATAACAAAGCATGTATGAACTTCTGCTCCACTGTTATTTGTAAACGTACATTATTCATTTGTTTTGTGCTTTTCCATAGAACAATCTGTGAGTTGTACAGTCTAGAATTTAACTTCCATCAATCTTGAGAGCAAATAATATGAGTGAGCAAAAAGGAACAAAAATAAAATGGAAAAAAGGCCAAATATGTCTGGTGACGAAAGCTTCTGGGTTTCTTCTGTGTTTATTAGTCTGCTTCTTAGGACTTCTTGAATTGAAGTTCAGCATGTGCTCACTGTATATCCTACCAAAGCATTGCATTTTAGCGCATCCTTTGTGTTTGTCTATGACTATGTGTGGATTTGTTTGTTTAGTCACCAATTGTCACAAAAGCTCAAGCTGTGAAGAAATGGGCCAACAGTGTTTGTCAAGCTATCCAATAGCCTCCCTCACGTGCAATCTCGTCTTGCACGTGGAGATGCAAACATCCATACATATCATACATAGAAAGAAGAAAGAATGCAAACGGAGAGGCTTGAACCCAAGACCTCTCCCAACCTGAGCTCAGATACCGTCTTAAGTCACCAATTTTTTCAAAAGCTTAAGCTGTTACAAAATGGACCCAACCGTGTATATCAAGCTAACCAACATTGTTTGTTAGTGTGTATGTATGTAAGAGTGAAACTGTGTGCTTTTGTTGGTTATGAAATGAATTATTGAAAAACACAAACATTTCCTATAACATTATATGTACTACAAATTATGTGTTATGTCTTTTGTTTAGAAACTTACTGCAGTGTGTCATCATAAATTGGTGGTCATGTGCTTTCTCTTGGCCAATGTGTCCTACCATTCCCTCTATTGAATAATTAGTGGCACTCAAGTTCTACCCTTAGGATGCCGATTATGTCAATAAATGGTAATCATCCCATTTTGTTATGCATGTCAAGTAGATCCCTTTCTTTTTATCTCATTTCCTTGTGCCTGTTTGTTTTACCAAAAATTTATGGATTGATCTGAATAAGGTTACAGTAAGGAGGCATGGGTCTTGGGATTAGTCTGGTTTACCTGTATACCCAATTGTTGAAGAAAAAAAAAAGGGGTTATGGTTTTCATTTAAGAACATCCAAATGCCACCTTGTTCATTGTAATCTTTCTGCTTATTTGTCATCTGTTGCTTGCTTTTTATTTTTCTGCTTACCTTTTCTTTACATTGAAAATTGTCAGTGGATTGCTAAAGAGCTGAATTTACTGAGAAACCTCATTGATCGAGCAAATGAGAAAGGATGGAGAAGGGAATATCCTTTTTTATAAGTGTTTTGTGAGTGAAGATTCAGTATACTAGCATTTGCCAAGAGGCTATGATAGCTTGTACAGCAACAACCACACATGTCACTAAATTAAGGGGATCACTGCTGAACAATCTCAACTATTCTTTTGTTAATGTTAAAACCTATCACCTACTTCACCCACTTAAACCTACTCCACTAAACCTAACCCACTACACCACTACCACCTCCACTTCACCTACTCCACCTACCACCTACTACCATCTACTCTTCTATATATAGGAATCATGAATCATTGTAATATACATCAATACAACAATCAATAATACTATCAATTTATTTTACATCTCTATATCAATTTATTTTTACATGGTATCAGAGCAAGGTTGAAAAGCTAGTAATTCTGTTTCACCGGCGGGCGGCAGCCTCGCCTTGGCCGCCCGCCGGACCTCTACACATACCTTGAAATTTCTTCGAGTCCACCACCTTCCATAAACCCAACTGAGACTACTCTGGCCTCAAGAGGATCTATCACCAGATGCTCTCTCTCTCCTCTTCCGGCTATAGAAACACAAAACACGGGAGGAAAGTAGAAGCTCTCTCCTCTTCCGGAGTGAAATGGTGTACTGTTCCGATTTTCTTCCTCTCCTATGAGGAAGAAATGGTTCCTCAAATTCATCTCTCTCTCTCTCTCTCATAATCCACAGTCAGTTGTGGAATCTCTCTACAACTTCTTGCCCTCTGGTGTTGAAATTGGTGGGAAGGGTTAGTTGTGGTTCGGTAGGTTGATCGGAGGTTTTTGTTGAAGCTGAGATTTGAGGTTGCAAATGCCGAACGAGGACTTGGTGGAGCTTAAGTTCCGATTGTATGACGGAACAGACATCGGTCCGTTTCGGTACTCACCGGCTTCCACAGTAGCCATGCTCAAGGAGAGAATTGTCGCTGAGTGGCCTAAAGGTTAGAAGTTTTACTCTTATGGGTACACTCTCGCCCGTGAATTTAATTGTATCCATATCTATATCTATATCTATATCTAATATAAGTAAAAGAGGTTTCTAATCTACAAGTTTTGTGAGAGTTCTAATATCCTAATCCTAATTTTTTAATTTAAAAAAAAAAACCTCAACATTTATTGACTTTTCCTAACCCACAAACCTTTTTGACTTCTCTTATAATTATTGCAGCACTCTTTTCGATTTCTCCCATACATTATGGTTACACACAAAAATAAAGAAAATAAGAATTTAGCTATGGATCTGAAAAAGATATAACATCTAAATTTAAATTATGATTTACTAACATAATTATCTATTTTTTTGATAGATATCAATCAAAATTTTAAATAACTTAATGAGACAAATTAATTAATTTTCTAAAATTATTGACTTTTTAATTTATAAAATAGATTAAAAAAACTATTGACTAATTTATTTATTTAATAACAAAAATATTTCATAATCTCACCATCCTAATCTCTTTCACCGATTTTCAATTTATTTTTACAGTTAATACCCACAACCTAAGATTTCATTTGATTTATGATTTTAGTATGCAGGAGCAGAAGCTAAAACTCTTTGATTTGTTGACTAACAATCATAGGCACGGACTCGTGACATGACACAAAATTTCAAAAAATGCAAGACACGACACGTTGGGAACATATGTAAAACATATAATTTTATATATTTAATGTCACCTTTTTTAATCTTATATACTTATTCTATATCAAATATTTATTCTCATCAAATTCATAACCTTGGATATGCCATTTCAGTTAAAATAAATATATTAAGTTAAATCAAACCATAATGTTTTATAAAAAATGAGACACGAGGTGTCCCTAGTGTGTCCGATGCGTGTCCAAAAGGGGACGCACGGTGTCCCAACATGTCCCCAGCGTGTCCAAAGTGTGACCTTCAAAAAGGTGTCCATGCTTCGTCGTTTGTGGACTTATACATCCAATTTGAATTGACACCTTGTATTGATTTATGGTTTCAGACTTAAACTGCTAAAAGATATGTATTAATTTTTACTCCCCAAATTCAATGGGATAGATAAATCGTAAATCAAAAAAATGGGGGTCATCCACATGAGAATGTAAATAAATGCTCATATACGCACAAATAAATTGTTTAGCATCTGTGAGGTGACAATATTTGCAGTAAAATGTTAATGTGCCCCTTAACCTACATGGTTTTCTACATTCTTTGAATACATGGAGAAAAGCCAGCTGCTTCAGAAGCCATCAGAACAGTCGCGGTTGCTACAAGTGGTTCCCAAGGTGATTGCGGATGTATCAGAACTTGAAACTATGGCCAATGATGCCATTAAAGAAAATAAACAGGGAGATGAAAGCTTGCCAAAATCAATCCTCCTAGGGAGTTCGGCAATTTCTGGAGATAGCTCGAAAGGCAGTGGATTTTCTTCAGGTATAGTTGATTAAATTTCTACTATTATGCATGTATATCCATTAATAATTTTGGATGTTCTAAAACCGTTGTGTTGAATAATACAGTACGAGAAGAAACAGTTTTCTAAGTCTGACTATTAACTATCGGATATAATTTTGGCTTCAAGCCATTTCAAGTTCCATTTTTTCAGAAATGTACTTAGAATTTTTCTTTTGCAAAACTTTGATTGCTTCATCATTGTTTCTTGAAATTATGATTCTATGTGTAGAGGGATGATAAACATAAAATTTAAAAATCTGCAATGAAATTGAAAGTTCTATTTGGGAATTCCTTTTTCCTTACACCCACTTCTTTTCATAGGTAACCCTAGGTGAGACAGTTTATAAAGGTATGCAATATCTCCTCATCTTCCCATGGAAGTGGAGAATTTCTTGTAACAGTCTGTCTTGAACTCATTAGATTCATTCCTAAGTTTAAATGGAATAGTTCCATTTTTAATGTAATTATTTAAATGCATTCTTATATATATATATATATTTAGAGGAAATGTAATCATTATTTTGATGGCAATGATGCATGCTTTTTTGAGAGGAGATTTTGTGAAGAGCATGAATGCTTCTTTCATTGCTCTTGTGCTCAAGTAACGGGTGCTGTAGTTATCGTGGATTATAGACTATAAACCTATCAATTTGACTAGAACTCCTTATCTTTCTGTAATTTCTGCTTACTATTCATTCTTATTTATATTATTTTGATCAGGGTGATAGAAAGCGTAAAAAACAGCTTATTATTTGTTCTGTGTTTTATGCTTAGTTGCAAAGAAGAAACGTTCATTAGCATCTATCATTGAAGAGCTGGATAGGTTAGAACCAAAAATTACGAGAAACCAAGAGGCCTCGGCAGTTCAGTTGACTGGGTTGAGTAGCAGTGATGATAATGATGGTTCAAGGGTTGCAATTCGAAAGCAAAAACTCAAAGGCATGGATACACCTGTGTGGCGTTATCAGTGGCTAAATGAAGAAAGAAATGGGCCCCATTAGCTGTCAATGTTGAAACGCTGGAGCGAGATTAGTCCTTTTGCTTTGAAGTTGAAGGTGTGGAAAGTTGGTCAAAGTTAAGACAATGCAATCTCATTGAACAATGCTCTTCTCAGGTTTTCCCCAGAAAATTATTACTTGAAGTTTGTGGTTTGTCTACCAGAAATTTCCCAGACATAGAGAAGCAAATAAGTAGACTTAACTGTTTTTAAACTTGTTTTGTTAAGTGATTGTTCTGTTTTTTATTTGTTTTGGCAGCATTAATAGCTTGAACTCGAGAATAATTGCAGGAAACTGAAGATTTCAGAAGTGGATGGTTTCTTTTGAAAAACTTATTTATTTTATAATTCTCATTGAACAATGCTCTTCTCAGGTTTTCCCAGAAAATTATTACTTGAAGTTTGTGGTTTGTCTACCAGAAATTTCCCAGACATAGAGAAGCAAATAAGTAGACTTTAACTGTTTTTAAACATGTTTTGTTAAGTGACTGTTCTGTTTTTTATTTGTTTTGGAAGCATTAATAGCTTGAACTTGAGAATAATTGCAGGAAACCGAAGATTTCAGAAGTGGATGCTTTGTTTTGAAAAACTTATTTATTTTATAATTGCTTTTGATTTTATTGTTACTGTTGACCACAGTTCGATTTTCTTCCATGAAGAGGAGACACAGATCAGATTAAATTCCTGATTAGATTTTTGAGAATTCTTTTTGTTTTTCTTTTGGTGATGCAAAGTACAGTGGTTGAGGTCGAGGATGAAGATCAAACCCGGGACATGCCTGTACCACTAGGGCAATGCCTTCAGCTTCCTGAGAATTCTTTTACAACATGTAATTCCATTGTCTGTTGTGCAATTTGTTGAGAAGTTGAGCTTTGTTTATCTTTTGCCAGTTGCTTATAATTGTTTTTCTTATGTTTGGGGTAAGAAGGAAGCATTTCAATTTTAGTGTACCTGGCTCAAAGTTGTCCCTTATGTGTTTTTTGTTTTTGGTTTTTTGGTACATGAGATATCATGGCATGAAGGAGGGAGTTTTGATTATGGTAAAATTTAACTGAACCAACCTAGTCAGTTAAGTATCTTACTAGACCTAAGATTTGGATCGGTCCTTGCAAGTAGGTTTATTTACGAATTTGCGATGCATTCATTTAAATTAGTACTCAAGAATCATGGTTACATCTACATAAATGAATTTGAAAATCTATTTGGTCAAGTTCTTTAAATTAGTTTTCTGAAAAATATTTAAAACCTGTTTGCTTTCAAAATTAATTTTTGACTTTTTAATTTGTATTTTTTTTTTCCTTTTTAGTGAATTTTTAAAATATTTTAGTCAATTTTAAATGCAATTAATTTAAAAGAAATTAAAAAGTAGAATATTTACGAATTTTTTTTAAAAAAATTATTAAATACAATAATGTACTTTTATATTTTTAAAAATTTTGTAATTTTTTTTTTTAAATTTCGTACTTTTTAAATATATTTAGATTAAGTAGATCTAAAAAAGTAAAAAATAATGGAAAAAAAATATTTAAAAAATTAACTAAAAACCAAAAGAATATATATATATATGGTTTGTGAAAACTTAAAACCATAGTGAATTACCATATGATTTTCTATTTTTTAGGCAAAAATAATTTTTGAAAATTCAAAAATATCTGCTTTGATATTTATTTTTTAAAAATTAGTTTTTTATTTAAAATTCAGAAAATAAGCTCTGAAAAATTAACTAAACAAAGTGCCTGTTTGGCAGAGCTTAATTACAGCTTATTTCAGCTTTCAGCTTAATTTAAGCTATTTTGATGTGTTTAGTTTAGCTTATAACTTATAGTTTATAACTTTTTGGAAGTCAGAAATCAGCTTATTCTTTGAGTGGGGTAGGAGATGCTTTAAAAATAAGCTGGAAATCAGCTTAAGCTGAAAGTTATAAACTATAAGCTGTTAAGGCATAAGCTATAAGCACTTTCCCATAACTCTACCAAACAGGACCAAAGCTAATTTTGTAGCCTAGACTAGTCCAATCCAATTGATGTGACTAATAGTAACTTTTGAAAAAATGAAATCTTTAAAAAAATAAATTAATTAATTAACCTCAATTCTCAAAGGGAAATTAAAGAGTTCCAACATTTTTACTTGATTGGAATTAAATAATTGAGGGACAGGTTATAATTGATTTAATTACTTACCTGAGATTGCTTCTGCAGAATAAGTAGCCCAAAGAATGTCAAAATCATTTTACCACATCAGAATAACAAATTCAAAGTCATTTAACATGAACAGCAGTTATATATATTGATTTCATCCAGAATGCACAACAATTGGGAAACAAATCAGAAAATTTTCAACATCTTTTGTTATTTGGTCCCCAACAAGTTCTCAAATATCAGAACTTCCATTGGCTTCCTTTGCATTATTACAAATCTTCTTGGTGAATAAATAATTCTTACACTATAAAATTAATGTCTCTAAAATTTATTAACAGATGAATTTGCTATCACAATGCACCGTGACATGGGTCATCTTCTGAGGTATTCGCTATCACACTATAAAAGCCTCCACAATAACTTCAAAACAACCAAAATTTCATAAATCATCTCACTTCAGATCTTCTCTCATTATTTCCTTTCTGTGAGCTTGTAGCCTCTCTTTCAGTTTCTTACTCTCTTCGAAATTCGCCTTTCGCTTCAATGCTTTCTGTGAAAGAAAACAAAGAAAAACCATGAGGTTCTAACTAAAATTCCAATTAGGAAGGAAAACAGAACACCCGGACAACGAAAACTCACTTCCTGTCGGAAACAGAGATCAAGCTTTATTTTGAGATCAGTGCATTCGCCAAAGAATTTTCCAATAGGATGATCTAGATGACACTTTTGGAATTGCTCGATAATCTGCACCAACGGACCATTAGAACAATCTCAATGTGCAAACATCTATCAATCTCTTGCTGTTTCATATTAACATGAAGAATCCTTCCAACAACCAGAAACAATATCAAAATCACAAGGTCAACAAATGAAGTTCTATGAAGCAAACAAAAGTCAATGTAAGCAGTTTCACCATGCAATCATTATTGGGAAAGAACACAACAACTTTGGCTTCTCATCTCTGCAAAGGACAAAGATTTTGCTAGTGAAATAATATTCCCCTAACATCATTCTACTCTCACTTAACAATTTAAAGTTAGGTCCACATGATGTGATCCAAATAAGCCAATAAGCTGGTTTTTTTCCTAATTGCCAAAACAGGCCTTATTCAATAATAATAATAATAATAAGGATAAGACTTCTATCATTGCTGTGAGCTATTATCTAAATTATATACGAATACTCCAAAACGTTTGCCGTGGCCACATCGGACACAACACAACTAAGAAGCACAGACAGTACTTAGAAGGCAAAGTGTCCGTGTTGGACTTGTGTTGGACACCGACACTCCTCGGACACTTTTGGACACATGTCCGATACTCTTATTTACATGTCCATAATTAAAAACAAAAATCTTAATTTTGAACCTGTGTCCGACACTCATTTTGACTCGTCCTTCACTTCTTGGCCATGTCTATCACTAAAATATAAACACAAGACCAACACTTCTTAGACATTTGCAATCGCATTATTTTCAAGGTTCGAAAATTTGACACAAATATCTTGTACCCTTAAAAAATGTATAATTTTTAAGAATACATAATGTATAATTCTTAAAATGTAAAAAAAAAAAATGTATAAGTAAATGACTTAGGAGGATGAGAGAATATTATAATTATTTATGTTTGCTATATTTGTCTGATTTTTTTTTTAAACTACTATGGTTTAGTAGTCTAAAAATTAATGCAAGGGAATTAGATACAAGATTTACATAGTATAAAGTAATTATTCAATTTTATATATATTATGCACATATATAACTATATAATATAATATATTTCTAGTAAACAAAATATCAACATATAATTATTTGTGGCATCTCCGAACCGTGTCCGTGTTCTACTTTTCTGAAATTTGCCATGTCGACGTGTTTGTGCCTGTGTTGTGTCTGTGTCCCATATCCCTGTCTATGCTTCATAACAACACAAGATGGGTATGGAGATGGGAAATGTGTTTGGCATACATGCAATAAAAAGAGGAAAAATATCTTCCTAGTTTGATAGAAGTTCCATGGAACACTATATAAAATAAGCTCCTTGCATTTATATAGGATATATCAAAACAAGGGTAGTACACCTGTTGGAACTAGAATTTCAGCAACAACATCCTTTTACCATAGAATATAGAAAATATAAAGTTCGGTATTCTTTTTGTCTTTTTGTTTTTTGTCTTCTGTTCTTGAGGACAGAAAAAACACAGAAACTAGCACAAAAAACTTAATTGGCAAATTGTTTTCCCATAAATTTTCCAAAACAACCCCTTTTAGGAAACATTTTAGACCTCTTTTTTTAATTTTCAAAATTCGATGGATTTTTTGAACTTTTTTTAATTGTTTTTGTTTCGTAAAACATAAAAATAAAACATCAAAATGAAAACAATACCTGTTTGGTTGTGTTCTTGTTTTCTGTTTTCATTTTTTTCCAAAATATAAAAAACTTGTTTAGCAAACTATTTCCAAAAAAAAAAATTAGGGAAAATTTTTAGAAACAACCCATTTTGGCAAACATTAAAATGTTATCTTCGAATTTTCGATACCTATTTTCCCAAAAAAATGAAGTATGGCATGTGCTCCTAGAAAAATGAAATATGGCAACCAGCATTTGTTCTCATTGGAGCTTCCCGTTTGTTACATGATGTATTTCTCGCTCAATTCTCTCAAAGTCTTATAGAGAGATCCATGGCTACTCCCAAAAGTCTTCCTCAGCAAGATCGGGAAAAACTACCTTTTTACCTTTCAATTAGGATTGAGTATTGGCCAGGGCTCACATTAATGAACACAAGAAAAGTAATCGAGGTAAATTATTTGAACCATGGAACCTAATCTTACACTATGAAAACGATGGTTTTTTCAAACTTCCCATTATTTTTATTTCCAAAAACATGAAAAATGAAAAAGAAAGATGCTAAGGGAAAAGATGAATACAAAACCAAAAGCCCCTAAATGATACAACTGTTTTTAAAAAAAATGAATCTAACAACCAGATACACCCAAACCAACGCACACCCTAAAGCTTATGCAAGAGATGACATTATACAACGCATGTCTTTAGTGATCCATCCCAAACCACATGCCATTGGTAGTTCATAAGCATAAAAAATAAGAAAACATAACATGGAAGTCGAAAAAGAATTACTTACTTCGGCACACATCGGGTGCCTGTGTAGCGTCAAAGGAGGATGCATTTCCACCCAAGCAATGCAACTCGTACGACACTGTAAGAAACATTACTCATCACGTTTCCTGTCTTAATAAAAAAAAAATTAAAAATACACACAACAACAAATATCACCAAGAAAGCAAACCAAACCAAACCAATCTTAAGTCTCATTAAATTAAATAGGGTCAGCTACTAGGAAGCACGGGTGCGAGTGCCATAATTTCAAAAAAAAAAAGTAGTTTCTTTTTTTTTTTTTTTTTTTTTTTTAAATTATAACTAAACATCCAACCTACCCATTAAGCTTCAATAACATAATTAAAAAGAGAAATTACAAAAAAAACAAAAAGTAAATCATACGAGCTAATTAATTTAGGAGCCACGCATCCATCACCTCACTAATTAATTACCGACAATGCGTGGCTCCTAAAATATATATTCCAGTGACAAGTATCATATTGCGTGATATATGACATATATCAGGAAAAAAAAATCTGGACAGATCTTTGTTCAAAAATGTGGACATATATCAGAAAAAAAAATCTGGACAGATCTTAGTTCAAAAATCTGGACATATATAAGGAAAAAAAAAAGGAAGAAGAAGGATCAAAGAAAGAGAAAATCAAAGAGAAAAGAAGAGAATCAAAAAAACGAAGGGGGGAAAAAAAAGAAAAAGAAAAGACAGAACAGATCTTATCTTAGTTCTCAGTTTGATGCCAATAAATAGTACAAAAAAAACCAAAACCAAAAAGATGAAAAAAGAGGAAGAAGAATAGATCATTTGCTGCGAAGAAACAGCACAAAAATCTGGACAAAAAAATGAAAGAAAGAGGATGAAGAATCGAAGAAGAAGAGGGGGGAAGAAGAGGAAGAATCGAAGATTAACTTACCTCTTCAATCGCACCTTCGAAACAGAGAATCAATCAGCAGCACCATCGATTAAACCTTTCAATCGCACCTTCGAAGTGTCCTTCAGACTCTCTTGGGGGTATTTCTGGAAGGAGATGATCGAATAGACATAGAACCCCAATTTTAATTGGGTCTTCAATCGCACCTTCGAAGTTCTTTAGTCTTGGGAGTATTTCGGAAGGAGATACGGGAAGGAGATGAGACGGGGTTTTTCACAAATTAAGCCAAATTACCAACTTAATTTCCAAACTAGGCTTAGGTTGGACGAAATTCTTAAATTAAGCTAAAATATGACTGTGAACCACGCTATTAATGTTTTTGTAGCTGTCGCGCGGAAATGATATGAAATCATATAAGCGTGTTTTCAAACCACGTTTTTAATTAACGCTTTCAATTATTTTATGTTTTTTTGAAAACGTGATTGTGAACTGCGCTTTTAAGTAAAAAAAGTTTTTCCCTAAAAGCATGGTTGTGAACTACACTTTTAACTAAAAAATTTTTTCTTTTGAAAACATGGTTGTGAACCACGCTTTTAGCAAAAAAAAAAAAATTCTTCTGAAACCAAAATCGTTTTTAAGTGAAAGCGTGGTTCGTAACCACGCTTTTAAAACTTATATAAAAACTCTCTCAGCCCCGTCATTTGCAACCACACTTTTTCCACTTAGGTTTTTTCGACTTCAGGCTCTCTCTCATTCTCTGCTCTCGCTCTCGGTCTCTCTCTGCTCTCGCTCCCTCTACTCTCAGACTCTCTCTCTGCTCTCACACTCTCTCTCTGCTCTCTCTCTATCCGTGGGCTGCTCTCTCTCGCTGGTATAGCGTCTGTCTCTCTGTCTCATTTGAATTTTATGTGTTTATTGTGTTTATAAAAATGTGAATGTAGGTACAATGTGGGTAGAATAAGGTTCATGAATGTGAAAATGTTGTGAATTGATGGAAATATTGATAGAATAGGGTTTGTGACTGTGAAAATGTTGTGAATTGAAATTGATATCAATGTGGGTAGAATAGGTTTTGTGAATTGAAATTGTGGTTTTGAATTTGTAAATGTTGAGGTTTTGAATTGTGAAAATTTTCTAGGGTTTTCAATTGAATGTGAAATCATGAATTAGGGTTAGATTATAATTTCAGTCTTGTATCCAATGAAATTTGCATAAATGGATAATTGGTGACTAGAGAACTAATTCTAAAGGCTTCATGCTTAATTGAAATCTCACCGGATTGGTTTGGTAAGATTTAAATTCTTGAGTTTGAGTCACTTAAGGAGTCACTTGATGTTTTTTTAATCGTTAATTTTAAAGTTTTAGGATTAGTTGAAATGCATGTAAACTGACCTGAACACTCGACTAAAATAAATAAATAAATGAATAAATAAAAACTTAATTGAAAAGCAAAATTGCCCTTGTCCATGGAATTCATGCATTACCATTCTCTATTTACAATTCAATAGCTGTCAATTACTTGTTAGTTTGCCAATAATTGTTAAAGATTATTAGTAGGATGGTTATGTATTGTCTGTTGAACCACCACACCACCTCTAGGTTTTGGTGCCGTATTTTGAGTTTGAAACCACTTCTAAGCTGTTTTAGATTTTGAAATCCCAACTCCTCCAATTGGCTTAGCAACCCATGTTAACAATTTTCTTTTATTTTCTCATTGGGAGCTACATTTTTTATTTTCTTTAGAAGACACGTCACCTTCAATGAAGTTGCTAATTAGTTTATGAAGGTCTTTTTATAATGGACTTGCTTAACAGAAGTTAAAAATATTGATCTCTTAATTTCTCATTAATTAATTTTTAACTTATTTAAGATTTTTTTTACTCATAAATTATAAACAGAGTTTGTATCAAATATTTTAATACATACTCTCAAAATAAAATTAAAAAAAAATTATAAACAACTCATATGAATTACACTAAACAAATGCATGATAGTGTGTTATGTTAGAAACTACTCTGCTGACCATAATATGATGAACAAAATACACAAGTGAGTGTTTTTCCTTTTATTTTTTGGTACTGAAAATGACATCATATACATACACTTTTTTATAGCACCACTAGTTCATAGGGTAATTTATTTACTCTCTAATCTTTAGGAGAAAGAAAGATAATGAGAACTTGTTCCAAGTAAGAATACGATGGACCGAATTGTGGCTCATCATCATGACTATTTTATTCCGTGATGGGTTTTGAATTGTGAAATCAGAAATTAGGGTTATAGTTTCAGAAATCAGAGTTTTGAATTGTGAATTCTGTCTATATTTTTTGCATTGTGAATTGTGAATCCTGTCTATATTTTTTGAAATTAGGGTTTTGAATTTTGAATTGTGAATCCAGTCTATATTTTTTGAATTGAAAATTTTATTTTTTGCTTGTTAATCCTGTCTATATGGTTAAATCTTCTTATTCTTTCTCTTATCTCTTAAGCTACATCATTAGGCCACTATAACTAGTACAAACAATTTTTTTGAATTGTTTTAGGAAATATGTTAAAAACTAATTTTTCGTATTTTTTTTTAAAACTTTTTTTGCAAAAACGTGTAAAAAAAGTAGAGAAATGATGTGACCCAAAAAAAATTAGAAGTTAAAAAATGACTTTTAACCTCTTTGCCAAAAGAGGCTTTTGAAGTCGTCCTGAAAAATGCTATTACCAAAACATTTTATATAAATAAAAAAATTTTGTTTAAAAATTATGTTTGAAAAAATTAAAATTTTTGATTTATAAAATGACTCATTCTTGATAATTTTTACCCACTTGAACTATCCAATTGACTTATTCCCTATGCGTCTGGATTATGTTTATTCAATTAAGCTTTATATTTTTATGATAGTCGAATGTCTGAATTAGTTTACGTATTTCTCGACTAATCTTAGAATCCACACCAAACGTCCCTTCCACGTAGATCGGACAAATCTCAAATAATACCTATAAACATGACCTTTTAAAACTTATATAAAAACTCTCTCAGCCCCGTCATTTGCAACCACACTTTTTCCACTTAGGTTTTTTCGACTTCAGGCTCTCTCTCACTCTCTGCTCTTGCTCCCTCTGCTCTCAGACTCTCTCTCTGCTCTCTCTCGTTGGTATGGCGTCTGTCTCTCTCTTTCTCATTTGAATTTTGTGTTTATTGTGTTTGTGAAAATGTGAATGTGGGTACAATGTGGGTATAATGTGGGTAGAATAGGGTTCATGAATGTCAAAATGTTGTGAATTGATGAAAATGTTGGTAGAATAGGGTTTGTGACTGTGAACATGTTGTGAATTGAAATTGATATCAATGTGGGTAGAATAGGTTTTGTGAATTGAAATTGTGGTTTTGAATTTGTAAATGTTGTGGTTTTGAATTGTGAAAATTTTCTAGGGTTTCCAATTGAATGTGAAATCATGAATTAGTGTTAGATTATAATTTCTGCTTTGTATCCAATGAAATTTGCATAAATGGATAATTGGTGACTAGAGAACTAATTCTAAAGGCTTCATGCTTAATTGAAATCTCACCGGATTGGTTTGGTAAGATTTAAATTCTTGAGTTTGAGTCACTTAAGGAGTCACTTGATGTTTTTTTAATCGTTAATTTTAAAGTTTTAGGATTAGTTGAAATGCATGTAAACTGACCTGAACACTCGACTAAAATAAATAAATAAATGAATAAATAAAAACTTAATTGAAAAGCAAAATTGCCCTTGTCCATGGAATTCATGCATTACCATTCTCTATTTACAATTCAATAGCTGTCAATTACTTGTTAGTTTGCCAATAATTGTTAAAGATTATTAGTAGGATGGTTATGTATTGTCTGTTGAACCACCACACCACCTCTAGGTTTTGGTGCCGTATTTTGAGTTTGAAACCACTTCTAAGCTGTTTTAGATTTTGAAATCCCAACTCCTCCAATTGGCTTGGCAACCCATGTTAACAATTTTCTTTTATTTTCTCATTGGGAGCTACATTTTTTATTTTCTTTAGAAGACACCTCACCTTCAATGAAGTTGCTAATTAGTTTATGAAGGTCATTTATAATGGACTTGCTTAACAGAAATTAAAAATATTGATCTCTTAATTTCTCATTAATTAATTTTTAAACTTATTTAAGATTTTTTTTACTCATAAATTATAAACAGAGTTTGTATCAAATATTTTAATACATACTCTCAAAATAAAATTTTTAAAAAAAAATTATAAGCAACTCATATGAATTACACTAAACAAATGCATGATAGTGTGCTATGTTAGAAACTACTTTGCTGACCATAATATGATGAACAAAATACACAAGTGAGTTTTTTTCCTTTTATTTTTTGGTACTGAAAATGACATCATATACATACACTTTTTTATAGCACCACTAGTTCATAGGGTAATTTATTTACTCTCTAATCTTTAGGAGAAACAAAGACAATGAGAACTTGTTCCAAGTAAGAATACGATGGACCTAACTGTGGCTCATCATCATTTCGGTGATGGGTTTTGAATTGTGAAATCAGAAATTAGGGATATGGTTTCAGAAATTAGGGTTTTGAATTGTGAATCTTGTCTATATTTCTTGTATTGTGAATTGTGAATCCTGTCTATATTTTTTGAAATTAGGGTTTTGAATTTTGAATTGTGAATCCTGTCTATATTTTTTGAATTGAAAATTTTATTTTTTGCTTGTTAATCTTGTCTATATGGTTAAATCTTCTTATTCTTTCGCTTATCTCTTAAGTTACATCATTAGGCCACTATAACTAATACAAACAATTTTTTTAGGTTGTTTTAGGAAATATGTTAAAAGCTAATTTTTCGTATTTTTTTAAAACTTTTTTTTGAAAAAACGTGTAAAAAAAGTAGAGAAATGATGTGACTCAAAAAAAATTAGAAGTCAAAAAATGACTTTTAACCTCTTTGCCAAAAGAGGCCTTTGAAGTCGTCCTGAAAAATGCTATTACCAAAACATTTTATATAAGTAAAAAAATTTTGTTTAAAAATTATGTTTGAAAAAATTAAATTTTTTGATTTATAAAATTACTCATTCTCGATAATTTTTACCCACTTGAACTATCCAATTGACTTATTCCCTATGCGTCTGGATTATGTTTATTCAATTAAGTTTTCTATTTTTATGATAGTCGAATGTCTAAATCAATTTACGTATTTCTCGACTAATCTTAGAATCCACACCAAACATCCCTTCCACGTAGATCGGACAAATCTCAAATAATACCTATAAACATGACACATACTGAGAGT